AGGCTACCCAGGGAGGCTGTGGAGTCTCCTTCTCTGGAGATATTCCAGCCCCGCCTGGACACGGTCCTGTGCAGCCTGCTCTGGGTGACCCTGCTTGGGCAGGGGTTGGACTGGGTGACCCACAGAGGTCCCTGCCAACCCCGACCATGCTGTGATTCTGCGATTGCTCTTGGTAAGAGTAGGGCACGACTGGTTTTGTCAGACGGGTCTGTTGTGGCTGCATTTCAGTGAGGGTAGATGGCCGATTCGAGTACGTTATTTCCCCCCTCCAGACCCGGTGGAACACAAGTGCTGCACGGTGTAATGGACATTCGTCTGCTGTGCACGTTGGGTAGATCTGAATTAGAAATTAGCGTGTCAGTTCATTGCTTTGCTGTGATCCAAACTTCTCTTGCTAGTCCCTCTCCTCATTCTGCGTACGTCAAACTAAAACCACTCCTGAAGTGGCAGCTTCGGGATTAAGTGGGCATTTTTTGGCTCAATTATGGCAATTAGTGTTCAGTCATATTGCGTGTTTAAACCCAAGGGTTGACACGTCAACATTTTGCTCTAGCTTCAAGTGGGACTATTTTTGGTCAGAGAAGTGAGTGTTTATATGTTGGTCTTTACAGTAGAATGCTCAGTAACCCAACTGAGCAGAGCGTGTTGGGAGATGCTGTTCTTCAGGTTGGCTTTTTTTAACAGGTAACAAAATGTAGAGCTGGGGAGGGAGGGAGAAGAAGGAGGAAAGTGTATGTATGGACTTGATATGGGATTATTTCACTGTCACACCTAAAATGAGCAGTGTTGTGCCTTTTCTTCTCTCTAGCAATGCCCTGGGGTCAGCAGGGATGTGTGGCCCTGCTTCTGGTACCAGTAAAGTTTTGGGTGTGAGAAAACAGCAAAGATGTTGCTATGTAAAAATCTATTTAAAGCCCACCACTGTGCAGACCGTGCAGCAACAGAAAACTTGGATCTGTAAAATACTTCTCCCTTATTTATACTGATGCCACAAGTGATACTGATGCTGCTGAATGTAAATCTACCTAGATATAAGAAGCACTGTAAATAATTCAGTATTTTACATGTGCAGCATGGCAGTGCACCGACCGATTTGTGATATGGCTGGTGGGACGTGAGTGGCCAAAGACAAGAGGTGGACTGAGATCTTCACTTGGAGCAGGTGCCTGCTGGTTTGACTTAGTAATGTTCTGTACTCGACAGTGCTCCACGAGAAGAAATGCAGCTGCAGCGTTTTGTAAATGAACGTGTTAACAAAGGAGAAGAACGTTTCTCTCTCCTGCCGGTTGTCTTGAATTAATCTCTTAACTAAGCTTATGGTGTCTGTCTTTCAGCTTTTCTTTAAATGTGATTTAGCAATGAACTCTCCTTTGTGCGTTACGTGTGCATTTTCAGCTTCTGTATGAGTATACCCAGTGCTGGGTGTGCTACTCATCCTCCCTTACATACTACATGGACCTGTTCACCAGTTCGGTTTGTGTCCTTAGTAATTAGATTACTCACAGAAGACCCTTAATAAAGACACATTAACATACACATTAGGGTAGTAGAGGTGTAATCCCGATTTGGGGGTGTGGGGCTGATTTCCCCCCTCCCCTTTGACCTGGGACAATTAGACACAAGAATGCGTGCAGAAAACCTTGAAGCTGAACACTGCGTTGGAGTTAGTTAATATATTTCTTAATTTCCATCACCGCCGCCGCTCCTCCCTGCCCCAGTCCTCTTTCCTCTGTGTATTAGCTTGATCTTCTGTAATTTTATCTCAAGATGGTATTTGGGGTCTTCCAGTAGATGGTAGTTTTCACTTGTGGAGTGGGCAGAAGCCCTGAGCCTGTTCTTCTGAGGCTCCAGAGCGGCACAGGTAAAGGCTGTAGCCTTGGTGTTGGTTATTAAATGAGTTAATTCTTTCTTCATGGCTGACTTGAAAATTGGAATAGTTGCATTCTGATGTTTCTCCAGCAGCTTAGTTATTGTGACTGAATCTTCTGTTTTCTGTTTTCGCGCTTACTTAAATACTGGGGGGCAGGGGGGGGCAGGTGAACAGTAATTTCTGAAGGAATTCCCCGGAGCATTCTTGTTTGTATTCGCAGTTGACTTGGAGGAAGAGGTGGGACAGCTGTTCCACCACAGAGCCACTGCAAATTTCAAGGCGCTGTATCTGTGCCCTAAACCTACAGTTATTTTCAAGATGAATGCAGCATTGTGCCAGTTCTAAGTTCAAGATTTTTAAGCCCTTTCTCCCGAAATAGAGGAATATGAAAGTATAGTGTTTAAAATGTGCTTTTTTTTTTTTCTTTCCCTGGCTGGCAGCCCTCATTAGCATCAGCTGGCTTACCCTGGCTTCCTTTTTGTTGTACAGTTCTCCATTGAGAGATACGTTAGTCATTGGTTCTGCACAGCAGCAATTTTTTTCCCCTGCAGCAATAATTTGATTGCAAGATTTCATTTAGTCTCCGCCTGACCCTGTTCCAAAGTTCTGCCTCCAGCGTGGCAGAGGGTGTTCAAATCCATGAGAACTCTGGCCGTGATTTTTCCATTTTTTTTTCTCCTGCCATCTTTGCACCAAAATACCAATAGGTAGCACAGCATTCGCTTGCTGCAAGCCTTTGTAAATGTGTAGTTGTAAACTTTAAATGTATTTCTAGGCTGTCTTTTGGGGTAAAATCCATGCTTTACTTACAACCCCCATTGCAATACGATACGAAGGCAATATGAAAGGTGCGTGCCATCATCCTCACCCGGTGAGGACCGCTGAGAGTTTTTTAGCATTAGAGGTTTTTAACCTGTTTAATGCTCTGTGTGTCTTCTGTTGGTGTTTTCTGGTCAGGGGAGGACGGATGCTTTGAGGTAAGAATGTGCTGGGCCGACGCGGAGGCTACGGATGCGCTGGCACGTGCTGCCGGAGATTGCTCACGTGTAGAGCAGCGGCGTTCTCCCCAGTTCAAGAAAGATGAGGAGCTACTGGAGAGAGTCCAGCGGAGGGCTACGAGGATGGTGAGGGGACTGGAGCATCTCCCCTACGAGGAGAGGTTGAGGGAACTGGGCTTGTTCAGCCTGGAGAAGAGAAGGCTGCGAGGGGACCTTAGAAATGCCTACAAATATCTGCAGGGTGGGTGTCAGGAGGATGGGGGGTTGGACTGGGTGACCCACAGAGGTCCCTTCCAACCCCGACCATTCTGTGATTCTGTGATTCTGTTCGTAGGTGCAGTTCTGCTTCCATCGCCGTGTTATGTAAAAGGCTGCTCACACAAATAAAGGACTTGAGCCTTAACGAAGGGAAAATCAAGTCCAAATAAAATGTCCTGCTGTAAACCACGCCAGAAAAGAAACTTCCTCCCATCTATCGGAATCTGACACGGATCTTTTCATTCATCCTTTTGCTTGCCTTCAGGCATACCTCCCGGTGGTTGTTAGGCAACCGTAAGAACGTTGCTGAACATGCAGGCTGGCTAATTGGATTGTCCCCTTCCTTGGTTTTTTGTTCAAACGGTCTTGGTCATCTTTAATAAGGCAAGCACATGCAAGTTGCTTCACTGGCTGGTGTGATAAACCAAAGGGCTTTTAAGAGTTCCATGGCACGTCAAGGACAAAATTTTGAAATCTATGCAAGCTTTGACATCGTACTTCATCAAGAGCATAAGAATTTGCCTCTGTCACTACAGAAGTCTTGCTAAATTCCACTTTAATTCAGCACGTTGCCCAGCTGTATTCAAACCAGCCTGTTGTAATGAGAGTTTTTGGTTGAAAGGCAGTATCTGCTCACGTGAACGGAGCTGAGCCGCACCACGAAAAATTGGTGTTGAAGCAGGCTGCACATTTCCTGCAGCTGGTAACCAGTGTCTAGGGTTGTCTTACTAGCAAGAAATGCGTTCAGAAAAACAGCAGTGCTTTAGTACAGGATGAGATGCCACGGAAGAAGCGACATATAAGGACAGCAAGGGCTTTGTTTTGTTACACGCATTTGAAAACATATTTAGCGTGTTGTGCAGTAGGGCCTGTTTCTCGATGGCAGCCTAACGTGAGTGACCTCTTGCAAGTGGTGTTGAGCTTCAGCGTCTTGTAGTTTCCCTGGTTGTTCTGAGTGCATAAACTAAAAATGGGTGTGATTTGTATTTATGTAACCAAACTTACCTTGTATTAATTATTGCAAGACAGCTTGGTATGGGTTATGCTCCACTAATTTGTCTCTTTCTTTTTTTTTTCTTATCACATTGTAGATTCACCAAGTTGAAGAGCCTTAACCTTTCCAATAATAATTTAGGAGACTTTCCACTGGCAGTCTGCGGTATCCCAACCCTGACAGAACTCAACGTGTCCTGCAACGCCCTCAGAAGTGTTCCAGCAGTTGTAGGCGAGATGCACAAGCAAGTACTTTCTTAAAACTTCATGTACACAGCTGTGTTCGGTGCGAGCAGGTGAATGACCTGCTCAGCCTGGTGGCAGAACTGAAGGAGGAAGTGGAGAGGCTGAGGAGCATCCGGGAGTGTGAGAGGGAGATCGACTGGTGGGGCAGCACCCTGCCCTCCCTGAGGCCGAGGCAGCAGGAGGCGGCTCCACAGAAAGCAGAGAACCCCCAACCCTCTTGCCACCGAGCAGAAAGAGGGGGCCTAAGAGATGGGGGGGA